ACACTCACTCACTCACTCATTTACACACACTCTCACACACACTCACTACTCTCTCTCACACACTCACATGCACACTCACACACACACATGCACACTCACACGTACACACACACACACTTAGTCACCCACTCTCTCTCTCTCTCTCTCTCTCTCTCTCTCTCTCTCTCTCTCTCTCTCGCGCGCGCGCGCGCACACTCACACACACACAAACACACACACACACACACACACACACACACATAAACACACACAAACAAACACACACACACACACACACACACTCAACATACACAAACTCATTGTTTTATGATTTATGGTAGTTCTTTTCCTTTCTGTTCTAAGGCTACTTTTTTCAAGTACGCTCTATAATTCTTAATAACAACTGTTGTCCCTCTACACTCATTCCTTCCGTTTCATAAAAGCCTCTGGTTGTTTGATGACGTGTGGAAACAATGATCGGGGGCAACAAAGGAGAGACGGGAAAACCAATGTCCTGAGGTTTGAACCCCAACCTCCCCCTTCGCCTTCTGCTAACTTTGTGAAGGTCACAGCTGGATGGGACTTTGTGATTGCCATCACAGGTAGACAGGCTTTCGTACACTTTTTTTATTTTTTATTTTGGTAAGTTTTTTGCGGCGCTCGCAACTGCATAAGGTCATATGAGCACGCGGGACACATTAAATTTTTTTCAGCTGGTAGGAATTTTTAAATTTTGCCCGAATGGCGGCCGAAGCCTATTCTTATCGATTTTAAATCACCAAGGGATCTTTAACGTGCGGAACTTGCTCACTGGCCCTGCGAGATTTTTCGCCCTTGTCCAAGAAGGCCATGTGTAGATCTTTCATACCAGAAGATCAGGGGTGCGGCTGAAAGAAAGCAGTAAGAAAGCCAAGGAGTAGCTGTAAAAAAGCTGCAGAAAGAGTCAGGAGCCCTGAGGAGGGGGCAAAGGAGGTGAGGGGGTGGGGGCAGAAAGAAGAGACGAAAGCAGACGACAGAACTTTGCTAGACTGCAGGAAAGGAAGCCAAAGGAGACAATTTTAGAGAAGAAAATTTTTCAGTTGCTACCCGGATTCGAACCCGGGACCTTTGAATGAGAAGCCAACACCTTAACCTCTAGACCACGAGAGCCCCCTTCGTACACTTTGTGATGCACACTCAGTTGGTTTTATGATTATATGATGATAATGATATCTTTAGAGCTGATTTTTTTTTTTTTTATTCTACTATTTTCCTGTTTTTTGAGTAAAGAAAAGCATGACGTTAAGTCACATTTGCTTCTGATTGTCAGGAAAAGTGGACATAAAAAATAGGAGCTGAAATTTATTGTCTCACATTCCAAGAGTATAGAAGTAGGACCTGCCAGTCGTGCCTTCTATCCATCCATATGAGAATTTCATTTTGACATTTTTGTATACATGTCTTATTACATAATTCCTTTTACGGTAAATCTATTGCTCTTTCCAGCAGAGAAGAAACAGTGTGGAACTTTGCGTCATAGTTTTATTGTATATTCTATTTCTTCTCTCTTGAATTTCTGTTATTTGTGTGGGTGGTTGACGCGTGCTCTGGTGTGGTTTGCTCCTTCTTTCCTGTCAAACAACTATTGTCTTTTTCTCTCCTCCTTCTTTTTTATGTTTGTTATTCTCTTGTAACACCTCTAATCTTCGGCACTTATATGACCTTATTGTGTTGCAAGTGCCCGTAAAACTCTTACTAAAACTAAAACTCCATGTTATTTGTATGTTTTGTTTGATACTTTGTATACTGACTTGATGTTCTGCTGGCACTATGATATGGTATGTGTGTGTAAACTCGGATCCTTTGTAAACACTCTACTTTTGTACGGCAGGACCTTTGACTTTTGATCATATCATGTAGGCCTAATCTCCATCTCTGATATATGTGACTCTGGTGCTGATATAACTGTTTATGCCCACATCACATCCAATAAAACGACAAGCATGATATGTGGTTTGAAGGTTACGATCCTCGTCATTGCTTACAAAATATGTGACTTCAATTCACATATTGTGAGGTTTCATTTCTGTAAAATCGAGTGTCTCTGTCTGTCTGCTGGGATGTTGTGCCCTTCTCAACCTTGGTTGGCCCAGACAGACAGGCACGGACAAGGCAGTCAGCCTCCTCTTTGTTCTAAATTGTGTCCATAGGGGCTTAAAATATTAACAATTGGGATTTTTCAAATGAAATGTTTCTTTAAACAGGAGACGGCTCAGTTCTATCATGGGGCTCAAACTCCTTTGGGCAGCTTGGCAGACAATGTCCTCAAGGGAAAAACTTTGATTTTACACCTGTGAGTTTATGTTTTCAGTTTATTTGCGGCTTTTTTTTAGATCATTTTTAATGTGTAGCTAGTTTTTGTAAATGAAGGTTTTTTTAAAGAATGCTTTAATTGTCTCAAGAATGCCTACGACAGTGAAAATCTAGTGTGGGCTGCTAAAAATATTTCTATGCGTTAGAGCTAAATTTGAAAATGATTCAAAACTGTGTCATGGGAAACACAGACATGAATGTTTCGACTGTGCTCCAAGAGCACTATATTACCTTTCTGAATGAGCTGACTGAACAAAATCATAACAAACTGAATTGTTGCTTATTTTGAATTTTTCGTGGAGAAAAATATCCATGAAAGTGTCTCAAAGTCTGACATGGTCAAGCTCAAGATACACCTATGTCAGCTACTTTTGGCTTCAGCGCGCAGAGAGGGTCTAAGGCGCATTGGATATCGTGCAAATTAAGGTCACATCTGTGCGTTTCATGTAAAGATAGTATATTGCAAGACTGAGTCACTCCATTATTTTGAAAGATGAAACAAATAGTCTCAGAGACACCAGAACAGAACACCCTTTGTTGTATGTAAGGTGCTATATTCATGGAATAATGTACTTTGTACTGCATACGAGGAGTAAGATAAAAGATTGCTCTCGAAGAACCTCTGTTGTTTGAAGAACAAAACAAAACTTCTTATATCAGCATGAATAGTTTGATGGGTTTTTTTCAGGTGGGGGGGGGGGGGGGGGGTTGTGTATGAATACCTTGACTGAATATGATCTGTTACTTTTTTTTTTTTACATTTTCAAATAGGAACAAGTGGTCATTGGAAGTCAATGCATGAAAGCCACTTGTGTTGAAGCTGGACTCCGGCATGCTGTGGCCTTAACAGGTGAGTCCCAGTGATATGGGTAGAGAGAATTATATCATAACAAAGAATCTACATAACAAGAGGGTTCACTCCTCTCTTTGAACCTGTTAAAAAGTGTCCTCAAAATTCAGTGCCGCCCTCTTTGCCAATGCGCACCCTTTGCGAACAGAGTTACCCTACTTGTTTGAAAAAAATCAAAAGTGAAACTAACAAGTTTTTAAATAAATAAATATTCAAATTTCGGAAGAACGCTTTTAAAAAAATGGTTACTCTGACAAAAAGCCTCCTCAGGAGGAGTAGGCGACAGTTTTCTTCGTTTAATTTGACTTTAGAATGAGAGGTGAGAGGTCGTTAAAATATAAAAAACCTAAAACTCCGCTCTGAACGAACCCGAACAGCTGATGAACAGCAGTCGATCTGCGTGCGCAAGGGGGTGCTATTCCTATTCTTTTTCTGGAGAAACGAAAGAGAGATTCAAAACAAATACTGCAGTGCCATCTGAGCCATTGCGCGGACTTCCGCTGACACTTTTTTGACTGAGTGAACAATCTCGTTATGTACGGTCTTTGATCATGATTTGAGCATTGTGAGTGCAAAGCTGTAGTCTTTGCTGAAATAGTAAACTACAAGTATTTGGTGCCCACCAGAACATTATTGTGTTTTTGTACTTCTCTTTACTCAGACGGAAAAAACAAAACTGAAATAAAAGTGAACTAAGCGTATCAGTTTACAGATACTGAACTCAAATAAAACTGAACTAAGTGTATCAGTTTAAAGGTACCAGGATTACACATTTTTGTAACTATTTTCAGATTCTCAAGAGGTGGTCACGTGGGGACATGGCAAGAAAGGCCAGTTGGGCCAGTGCACAGACGCTGGAGAGCTGAAAGCAAAGTCTGGAATCCCTGCTAAAGGTATTTAGCCCTTTTAGTACCGTCGGCAATTTTAGCCGCCAGGCCGTAGTATGTGCTCATTACCGCTGGCAACTTGAGTCGCCAACTCGACTAAGCTCATTACCGCTGCCCATTTTAGTGGCCAACTCGACTTAGCCCACTAAACATAATTAAACAACGAACATAGCCACGGCACTGAAGTAAGTACCAAAGGAAGTCCCTCTAGATGACTGCTGAATGGTTGATGAAACTGTAAATTTTAAAATTGTGTTTCTTGGTATGCAAAGTTTTTTTATATAAAAAAAAAATTCTACCACGGCTTCATCTTTCTAAACTGGTGCGGTACTTGAGGGTTTTTCACTATATGAGCCTTCGCTTGGGGGGTCACTGTGAAAATCCGAAGGAAAGAGCTTGACATGTGAAATACATTATAAAAGAGCCTCTGCTAAAATCTGACGCGTGATTTTTATTTTCGGACAATTTATTTTGTTCTTCTCTGCCAATGTGAAAAGTAACGGGTAATGATTAAAGGATAGGAGGATGGATGGCATATGCATTTTGTTTGGTGTCAAAGCAAGAGAAAGGAAGTTTTGTTGATGAGCCTTAAATATGAATAAAATTTCTGAAAATGTTTAATATATCCTGCGTGCTCATATGAACCTGTGCAGTTGCGAGCCCTGTAAAACACTTAACAAAGAACAAAAAAGCAAAATTTTTAAAAATGATAATAAAATTGCTCTTGTTAGTCGGATATATTACGATCATGGCAATGTAACCAACACTGGTCAGAGCACACCACCCACTCCTCTAGTGTAGCTGAACCCATGTAACCCCTTCTTGATCCATACTTTCATGTTAAACAACCACACACACACACACACATACTCACAATCACACACACTCATGCACACAAGCACACACACATGCACACACACACACACAACCACACACAAATACACACACACACATGCACACACTCGTGCACACACTCACACACACATGCGCACAAGCACAAGCACAAAAACATAACTCTCACACCACAGAGCACAATACAGCGCCACACTTTCTCTCTTCGATAACACCCCACCACCCAATACCCACCCTAACATGGCTGGATTCTAGGAAGTTCTAATACTTTACACACACATTGGCAAGTACTGTGTGATAATGGGGCTCATAAGCTGCATTGTGTGTATTAAAATTTAATTGTGTGTAGGGGCGTTTGAGCGGGGGGGGGGGGGGGGGGGGGGGGATGTATATGAGTACACTAAAAGTACTTTTTTTTTTTTCAGAACCAAGTCACTAAAGTTGGCTTTTTCCGTTTTTTCTGGCTGACTCTCTCTCTCTCTCTCTCTCTCTCTCTCTCTCTCTCTCTCTCTCTCTCTCTCTCTCTCTCTCTCTCTCGCTCTCTCTCTCGCTCTCTCTCTCTCTCTCTCTCTCTCTCTCTCTCTCTCTCTCTCTCTCTCTCTCTCTCTCGCTCTCTCTCTCTCGCTCTCTCTATCTGTCTATCTATCTATCTATCTCACTCATTGTCCTTCTCTCTCTTTCTCTCACACACACACACACACACACACACACACACACACACACACACACACACACACACACACACACACACACCTACACACTGTTCATTCACCGAATTCCAACTTCCCCACAATACACCCTCACCTTCCCCCATCCCACCCTCACCATTTGGGCCCCAGCTTTTAACAAAAGTCTACTATAAACAATACATATTATATATACTAAATAGAGATTATTTGTCGTAATAGAGGGAAAGAAAGAAATATAATTTAGTCTCACTGTATTATGTATTCTTACTTCAGTCAGTGCACGTGTGCCATATATTTTCCGGATATTTTTTTTCAAACCCTGCAATTTAATTATTATAATCATAACAACAAAAGATTTCATTTATACAGCCCATAGCTTTGCCAAATGTGAGTGTTGTGTTTGTTATCATCAGCTATAACCCTGAGAGACCCTACAACATTCCAAAACATTCTTTAGGTTCCTGGGAAGCATTTAGTAAGTATTTTCAGAGAAGGGTGTATCTTCAGAAGCTTGAATTATTAGAGCTAGCATTTCGTCATGCTTAACTATATTTACAATGTACATTTGACCCTCAAAATGTAGGAGTTCTCAGTACAGCTGGGCGAAGAATCGATTCCGGAACCGAATCCCCCGATTAATGCTACGGAAGAAAAGTTCCGACTCCTTTTTACATAAATCAACGGTTACCAGTTACCTTAATCATTAAAATCTTCTTTTTAAAAAAAAGAATTTATATTTGAAAAATTAAAGTTGATGCTTCGTAGTGTTCCGAAATCAATCTAAATCCGGAAGATGTTCAGAGCGACCAGGTAACCACCGGAAGAAATCACACTATTAGAAAGTGAGTAATTGGGTTCGGAGTCGATTCCTTCGATTCCCGGCTTTCAATAATCGGTAACCTCGCTACCCAGCACTAGTTCTCAGTGCATTCTCTTTGTGGATGCATTTTCTTCTCCCACAGTTGATATTGGAACTAGAGAGACCTTGACCAGTGTTGTGGCTGGAATGTATCACAGTGGAGCATTGACAGGTAACTCGCAGGCAGTATTGCACACAGACGTATCTCAAAGGCCGCCAAAAATGACTAACATCTGTATGCAATACTGCCCGCGAACTGTACTCAATCAGTTGTGTCACGACATGGTGGAATCAGGCTCTCCTCAATTTTTTTACATTTGGAGTTAATGGTAAATCTTAAAGCTTCTTGTTCATATATCTACTTTTTGAAGAAAAAAATACCAATTTATCTTAAATAGAAGTAGAGATATTTGTGATTGGAGGTGGGGGTCTCCCGGTTTCAGCAGTGAAATTAGCAAGAAAAAGTTTAGTGACTTCCATAGCTTGAGAGTCCTTGGAAATTTAAACTTTACATTTTTTGTGCTTTTAACCAATGGTTTTCAGCAAAATCAACTCAGAAATGTGTTTTTAAATGGACATGCATGAAAGTGTTGAGCTAAAAAAAAGTTTTAAAAAAATTTAATTGCTAAATACTTAGAAAAATGCCAGTTTCTTTAATTTCATTATTTTAACAAGGACCTGATTTCACCATGATGCCTCACAATTGTTTTGTTTTTTAATTAGTTTGAGTAGAAACAAACCAATCAACACAGTTAAAATCATTTAGTGCCAGGAAAAAGGTATGGTAGACAGTTCAGACCGACAGAAACAACAGAGAGAAAGAAAAGAAACAGGACCTACCATTGATGTCCTCCTACCATCCACAATCTAGGGGTTAAATGGTATGCTGCCGGCTGCCTTAAAAATTGGAGGTTCAACTGAAAGAAGTTTCTTACACTTTGAACATTTCTGTGTTGAACTACAAGAATGTCTACAGTGTCACATAAAATGTTAATTGAAAGTCCTAGTGGGTGGTTGGCAGGTGCTCTAGTGTGGTTTGCGCCTAATTCTTTCCTATCAAACATCTATCGTTCTTATCTCTCCTCCTTCCCTCCTTTTTTGTTTTAATTACTCTCTTGTAACACATCTATTCTTCGGCACTTATATGACTTTATTGTGTTGAAAGTGCCATAAAACTGTTACTAAAACGTACATGTGTGCCTTGCAAACAAACAAAGAATATGTTGATCTGTTTAGCAAATGTTTGGCAAACAAGGATCAGATACCGCACAGGAAAAGCTTGAGTGATAGTGGCGTTAAACTATACAATTTCACCATTTTCACCAGGAAAGTTGGACTGGTCTCTCTAAAGCCCCTGTTACATGCAACGATAAATTGTATCAGATTCGTCGTATGAAAGAACTGTCCGTTTTATCGAATTGTGTTATCTGTTTACACGTTGCAATCTTTTGTCCAGTTCTCTTTCAATCAAGGAGATTCCTCGTCATAAAGCCACCATGTCTCTTTGCGACGACACCGATTTGCCTGTACTCTATGTGAAGGTTTCGAGCTTTGGACCCAGTGAATGAAAGGGGAACACTGTACCTCTAGACTACGAGAGTCCCCTTCCCCGTACATTTTCATATAACAGAACAGTGTCTTTAGAAAAGGGTGGCCAAACTGTACCGTGTTGTGTGTTGAAAGAGAAGCTTTGACTTGACTGCAGACGTGCAACGCACTGAGTGACCTTGATGCACTTCACCATTGACGATCAACTAAATAATAAAATTGCTAAAATATACTTAATAACGCACCAAATCAGGTTCTCTGTAAGCAACTTTGCTTATTTTGAGATGCTGATTCCGAATATGAAATCAGATTTTATCTACGATAATTATTTAAAAAATGTTTAGCCCTGAGTTTAGTTCTGCGCTGCAGCAAATTCCGAATTGAATCTATGTCACAGCGCATCTCCCTCAAGTGTGATCGCACGGAAAATATCAAGCAGCACTTGATTTCTCGACCTAGTCTCCAAACCATCGTTCAATCATCCAAATTTTGTACAATTTTGTGGTTACACCCAACGATTTAATAATAATAATAATAATAAATTACACTTTTATTTGTCCCAGAAGGGCACTTTGTTTTACAATGGCAAACATACATACATAAATACATAATTATGAATACGTACATACATAAATACATACATGCATAAATGCATACATAAATACACACTATTACACAAATACAGAACAGTTTACAAACAATGCCACTGTCGGTCGCCACTGTGCAGCGCCCTGTAATTTGAGCTAGGATTGTCGTGTCTTGCTCAAGGACACACTCCAGTGACCACCCATCTGATCTCCGTGTCACCGACACTTGCTTGACATTGCTTGAGTCAAAACTCACTACTCACTTAGCCACTGGAGCCCCCAGATCATCCAGTTTTTGTACAATTTATCGTTACATGTTACCGGTCCTTAAAAGAAGTTTTTAAAGTGAATTTACTTTTACCTGCTACCCATCTTACATCCCGGGAAAGGAGAGTGGAGGGGGATAGTGCTCTCAGATATTATTATTATGACAGTTTGTTTTGCAGTCCGTTACTGAATTTTGTTCTCTTTGGAGGGATGGGGGGGGGGGGGACTCCAGTGGCTACGTTAGTGGTGAGTTCAGACACAAAGATATTGTCATTGTCAAGCAAGTGTTGGTGACGTGGGGTTCAGAAGGGTGGTCTCTGGGGTGTGTCCTTTAGCAAGACTCGACAGCCCTAGATTTTTTAAAAAACAGCACAGTGGCGACCGGCATTGGCATGTTTATAAAATTGTCCTGTGTTGGTGTAACATGTATGTATTTATGTATGTATGTGCTTCTAATTTTGTATTTATGTGTGTATGTACTTCTAATTTTGTATTAATGTGTGTATGTACTTCTAATTTTGTATTTATGTGTGTATGTACTTCTAATTTTGTATTTATGTGTGTATGTACTTCAAATGTTGTATTTATGTGTGTATGTACTTCTAATTTTGTATTTATGTGTGTATGTACTTCTAATTTTGTATTTATGTGTGTATGAACTTCAAATGTTGTATTTATGTGTGTATGTACTTCTAATTTTGTATTTATGTGTGTATGTACTTCTAATTTTGTATTTATGTGTGTATGTACTTCTAATTTTGTATTTATGTGTGTATGTACTTCTAATTTTGTATTTATGTTTATGTATGTTTGCCTTTGTAACTCATATTTCCCCCACAAGGCTCAATAGAATGTTATTTATTTATTTATTTATTTATTTATTCTGTTTATTTATTTTTTTAAATTTATAATTTATTTGTTCTGGCTTAAATCTAAATCTTAGCCAGTGGTAGCATTTTCCTTTGGGGGTGCAACAAGTACGGACAGTGCTGCGTTGATCCGAGTACCTCCAATGTCGTAGCCAAGCCCGCCCTCGCTGATTTCATTAGACCGAGTGAGGACAGAGTTGTTGGACTGACCAGTGGATGGACTCACCTCACTGCAAGAACAGGTCAGAGATCAATCCTTGTTACAATTCACCTTTGTAGGACGTTGTTGATCTGTATACAGTCAAACTTGTATAAGACAGCCAACCATTTATTGTTACCTTAGAATTACAAAGTTCTATCCCACACTTTTGGCTGTTTTGAGTTACTAAGACCACGAGGTCAGAAACCAAATATGAGGCATCATGGTGAAATCAAGCGCTCGTCAAAATACTGAAATCAAAGAAACCAGCATTTTTCTGCCGACTTGGCAATTTTTATTAATTTTGTTCTATTGGCTCAACATTTTTTATGTCCTTTAAAAAACACATTGCTGTGTGAATTTTACCGAAAAACGTTGATTAAAGGAACAAAAACTGTAAACTTTCAGTTTTCAAGGACTCTCAAGCTATGGAAGTCACGAAACTTGGGCAGCCATTTTCTCGTTTATTTTACCTCTGAACCCGGTGACCCCCACCTCCTCCAATCGCAAGTATTTCAACTTCTATTCAAGATAAAAAGATTTTTTTTTAATTTAAAGCGAGGCAAATAAACAGGCTTTAAGATGATTCCAATAATTCCATATGCCCAAAAAATTGACGAGCGCCTGTTTCCACCACGTCATTACACAAATGTTCTGTCTGCTCTATCAAAATCGTAAGAATATTCAGAGTCACTATCAAGATATTAAAAGAATTGAGTTTGATAAAGCTTGACATGTTGTGAAAGTCAAAATGTTTTTCAAAACTAGGTACTGAGTAGATAGAGCTTTGAAATTCTAGGGTTGTGAATTGTCAAGGAGGAAAGTGGCTGTCTTCTTAGAAAAGTGGTCGTCTCACACTGTGGCATTATAATGTAAAATATACACAAGGGAGGAAATGGGAAGTGGCCATTTGTACAGGCCATTGCCCTTTACTTGTGGCCGTTAGAGCGGGTTCCACTGCCTTTTATGTGAGGGGCTCAGAAAAAAACAACTATTGTACGATAAGCAAATTTAATAACTTGTTTGTTGTTGGGTTTTTTGCATGTTTGGAATGGAAAACTTTATCTTTTTTGAGTATTTTGGTCTTTTAAACTTTTAATTTGAGTGCTATTGAACTTTTCTGCTTGCATAGAAAGATAAAGAGAAAGAACAAATGCTCTTCATTTTGGTATCTGCAGAGAATTCCGAAATCAACTCGGTGTCCTTAAGATACGAAACAAAAAGTGTGCTCTTTTAAGTAGAAAAAATCCTTACACTAATGCTGATAACATTAATAGAAATATATTTATAAATCGTAATAATGATGACAATGATAATACTTTTATATTAATTGTTGTATTAATAGAAATGATAATTATAATATAGTGTAAAGCACATAGA